TCATGCTGCTAAGTGACTCATAGTATTGGTTGTGCAAGACACTTGAGTGGGCCTTATTGATATCATTAATCTTATAGCCACAGTATGTCCCATAGTATACTACATACCTCCAGCCAGCATAATAAGGAGATCTGCCTCCAGGTGTCAGTTGAGGCCAAGTGGGGAAGCTGAACTTGTACCTAGACATGGCAGTAATGAGGCAGTACCCAGCCTTACCCTACCAAGATGTTGTCAGAAAATCCAATTAAAACATAAGTTGTAAGTAAGATCCTGAGTCTCATCACATAATATGAAAGTGTCCAGGTTTCAATCAAAATTCACTTAACATAGTAAGAGCCAGTAAGGTCTCAAACAGATTTTAAAAAGATAATCTACAGATGCCAATACAGAAATGACAGAGACATTAGAATTTTTTGACACAAAAAAGTTTTAAATAGCTATGATAAAAATGCTTTAGTAATTAGAACACACTTGAAACAAATGAAAAAAGAGAAGGCCTCAGCAAAGAAATAGAAAATCTCAGGGAAAAAGAGAAGATATAATGAAGAAGCAAATAAAAATTTTAGAAATGAAAAATACGATAACTGAAATAAAAACCTCAATGAATGGTCTCGCTAGTAGAATAGAGGGTACAGAACAAAGAATCAGTGAACTGGAAGATATATCAATAGAAATTACTCAATCTGAATGAAAGAGAAGAAATGGGCTGAGAAAAATTAAATGACCTTCTGGAACCTGTGGAAATAAAGAAAAAAAAGGCTAATATTCATGTCATCAGAGTCCCAGAGGAGAAGAGAAAGAGGGTCATTCTGGGAAGTTTGGAAGTCATGTCTGAGCTTCCCAAATTTGGCAAGGTACATAAGTAGACATATTCAAGAAGCTGAACAGCCCCAAATAAATACATGCCAAGACACATCAGAAACCCAAAACATCTTATAANCAAAGGTGCAAAAGCAATTCAATGGAAGAAAAATAGCTTTTTCTACAAATGGAGCTGGTTGAAAATCCATAGTGGGGGAAAAAAGAACATCAACCTAAGTTTCACACCTTATACAAAGATTAACTAGAAGTGGATTGTAGACTTAAATATAAAATGTAAAACTCTAAAACGTTTTGAAAAGAAGCATAGGAGAAAAATCTTCAAGATCTGGGGCTAGGTAGAGTTCTTAGACTCCACACCAAAAGCACCATCCACAAAAAGACAAACTGACGAACTAAACTTCATCAAAACAAAAGCTTTTGTTCTGAGAATGACCCTATTAAGAGGATAAAAAGATGACAGAGTAAGAAAGTATTTGAAAACCATGTCTGACTGAGAGCTAATAAAGAGATTCATAAAGAACTCTCAAAACTCAGCAGTAAAAAAGCAAACAATTCTATTAGATCATGGGCAAAGACATAAAGAGGTATTTAATGAAAGAAGACATA